CCACCAAGAAAGCAGTGCCAGGAGCAGAGCATGTCCTTTGGACCTGGGGTCCCTGAGCACAGAAGCTCCTAGTCTAGGGGAACACTGACGAGAAGAAGGCCGACAGAGAGAGAAAGCCTTCCCCTGGAGCTAATGCCCTGAATTTGGACTTTTAGCCTACTTTACTGTGAGGAAATAAATTTCTCTTTGTTGAAGCCATCCACTTATGGCATTTCTGTTGTAGCAGCACTAGATGACTAAGACACCCTGGATAAACTAGGAAACATTACTCGACTATTTCAACAAATCTCATTACAATAAATTCTCTGCCTCAACTTTGACCAAACTTTCCTAATGACTTAGCAGTCAATTTACAAGAGTTTATTGATCACCTACTACGTGTCAGTCCACGCACTGAGCACTGCAGTGAGTGAGCCATTTCAGACAATAGCCAGTTTCAAATTTCAAAATTTCAAGACAACCAAAACTTTTGGATGGTGGCTAGTAGTAACAGTGGCTTTTCCATCTCTGTTCCTTCTATAAAATGCCCTTCCAGTCACATATTACCCATCTTTCAAGGCCCACCTAAACTACCACCTCTTCCATGGGTCTTTGATCCCTCACCCACCCCAACACCTAGCAGAAGTAATTTCTCCCCTTTTGGAACTCTTTTCGTCTTTATTTTAAAAGACAAATTATTTACAGCTTGTATTATAATTGTTGTGTAACTATGTTATCTCCACTCCTGGGTTATAAACGTGTTGAGATAAGAATGTGAGGACAGTATTTGGTGTTTTTTTTTAAACTCTGCATTTAGTCCAGTGCCTTAGATTCCATCACTACTCAAAGTGTGGTTCTCGGACCAGCGGCTTGAGCATCAATTGAGAGTTTGTTAGATATGTTGATTCTCCGGCCTCACCCCAGAGCTACTGAATCAGAAGCTGCAGTTTCACAAGTTACCCAGGTGATTCATATGTACATTAGTTTGAGAAGCACTGTTACATACAATGGGTGCACAATAGATATTTTTTAACTCAGCGAATGTCTACAAGGGTCTTCACCATCCTTCACCCCCGTCTCATATATTGCAGATGAGCTGAGAAGTTACCACAACTTGCAGCTGGCAAGAATGCTCTCTCGCTCTCTAGCTTGCCTCCATAGTGTCTTTGCATTCGGGCATTAAAAAAAAAAAAAAGTTGCCATCAAGTTGATTCTGACTCATGGCAACCCCATGTGTATCAGAGTAGAACTATGTTCCATAGGGTTTTTGGTGGCTGATTTTTCAGATGGAGATTGCCAGGCCTTTCTTCTGAGGCACTCCTAGCTGGATTTGAACCTCCAACCTTGCAGTTAGCAGCTGAGCTCTTAACTGTTTGCACCACCCAGGGATTCCTCCGTCACTAAGTTACTGACTAATTCACTCACAAAACATTTACTGAGTGCCTACCATGTGCTAGGCATTTTATATGCACATTTCACAAGAAAAATTTAACTCTCAACACACTGAATCAGGTTTGCAGAGTTTTGGGAATTTAAATAGAACGAGTTATTATTAGGCGCCATCGAGTCAGTTCCAACTCATAGCCACCCCATACACAACAGAATAAAATGTTGCCCAGTCCTGCACCATCCTCACAATTGTTGCTATGTTTGAGCCTACTGTTGTAGCCACTGTCTCAATCCCCCTCCGTGAAAGTTATCTTAGCTATTCGTACTGTTGTAACAAAAATACCACAAGTGGATGGCTTTAACAAACAGAAGTTTATTCTCCATCAATCTTCCCCTGGACTAGGAGCTTCTCCCCGCAGGAACCCCGATCCAAAAAACGCGCTCTGCTCCTGGCACTGCTTTCTTGGTAGTATGAGGTCCCCTTGTCTCTCTGCTCCCTTCTCTCTTTTGTATCCCAAAAGAAACTGGCTCAAGACACAATCCAATCCCGTAGACTGAGTCCTGCCTCCTCAACACAACCACCGCCCATCCCCCCCTCATTAATTATCATAGAGGCAGGATTTACAATACACAGGAAAATCACATCAGATGACAAAATGGTGGACAATCACATAATACCCAGAATCATGGCCCAGCCAAACTGATATATACATTTTGGGGGGACACAATTCAGTCCATGACAAGGGTCTTCCTCTTTTTCGCTCACCCTCCACTTTACCAAGCATGATGTCCTTCTCCAAGGACTGGTCCTCCTGATAACATGTCCAAAGTACATGAGATGAAGTCCAAGACAGATTTGTTCCTTCTTCTGACAGTCCATGGTATATTCAGTATCCTTCACCAACACTATAATTCAAATGCACTAATTCTTCTTCAGTCTTCCTATTCATTGTCCAGCTTTCATGTACATAGTAAGCTACTGAAAATACCATGGCTTGGGTCAGGCGCATCTTAGTCTTCAAAGTGACATCTTTGCTTTTTAATACTTTAAGGAGGTCTTTTGCAGCAGATTTGCCCAATGCAATATGTCATTTGATTTCTTCACAGCTGCCTTCATGGGCATTGATTGTGGAAACAAGTAAAATGAAATCCTGGACAACTCTTCAATATTTTCTCCGTTTATCATGATGTTGCTTTTTGGTCCAGTTGTGAGGATTTTTGTTCTCTTTATGTTAAGGTATAATCCATACTGAAGTCTGTAGTCTTTGATCTTCATCAAATAGAATGAGAGTAGTATGTAAATTAGTGTGTTTAGTGCTCAATAGGGAATTTATGGAGCCCTGGTGGTGCAGTGGTTAAGAGCTATAGCTGCTAACCAAAAGGTCGGCAGTTCCAATTCACCAGCCGCTCCTTGGAAACCCTACGGGGCAGTTCTACTCTGTCCTATAGAGTTGCTATGAGTTGGAATTGACTTGACAGCAACAGGTTTGGGTTTTTTTGGTTTTAGGAAGCTTACCCACTTTTTAAATTCCTCCTGGATTGAAAGGGGCTTCATCCCACCTCCAGGCTGGTTACTGCACCAAGGGTCTGGGTGCCCATGGATTAAAGCCATAAACCAGTGCTTCTCAAACCTCAGCATGCATCAGAATCACTTGGAAGACTTGTTAAAACATAGAATTCTGGGCCTACCCCTAAAACTTCTGATTCAGTAGGCAGTGACATACAAATGCATGGGGAAAAAAAACTGAAATACCAAATAAAGGTGTCTTTATTTCAGCTTCTTTGAGGAGGCGTATTCTATCTTATCCCATTCCCTTAAGTGTTCAGAGATGTCTGGAGAAAAGACAAAAGAAGTAAAGTCTGTGTTTAATGAAGCCCGTTGAGAGAACAAAGTCCAGAAAGGTCACCAGGTCTTGCACAGAAAAAGAAGGCCTTGTTTCCCACCTGTGTCTATGACTATAGCAAGAAATTGGGCCTTCGATCGTTAAAGGTGGAGGGACCATGACTTACCCATGGCAAAGAAAATAAATTCCTGCAATAGTGCAGAACTTCAAAACTCACTTTAATTGTCTTTCACAGACAAAAGACAGTGGGTGAAACCCAGTCCAAGAAATAGCTCATTTACAGTCTGTTGACAGCTGTGCCCTGGCTGCAAGGGCCAGCACAGGGACTGGGGGGATATTTTCCTTGCCTCAGATTTATCTCCTGCCTCCACACACAGCCATCCTCCACCTAGCATCATTATGAAATCAAGACATCCTAGGGGAAGAGTGTGGGAGAGTTTAAAGAATGCTACCTTCCTCCCCAAATTCTTCTTCGTTCCTCCTACTCCCCTTCAAGTTCTAAACCCAGCCTCAATGGTATCTGTAATGAGAACATGAGATAGCATCAAAAAAAAAAAAAAAAAAAAAAAACCATTGCTGTCAAGTCGATTCTGACTCATAGCAACCCTATAGGACAGAGTAGAACTGCCCTACAGGGTTTCCAAGGAACACCTGGTGGACTCGAAATGCTGACCTTTTGGTTAGCAGCCGAACTCCTAACCACTACGCCAGCAGGGATATTTCTTAAAATAGGATTTTCAACCTTCTTTCGGAGATCGCTCACCCCTTTCCTATAGTGCCTCAGTTCCAATGGTTTGTAATATACTCAATAGAAATACCAGCATATAGGTGAATAAGGTTGAAGACTCAAGCCTCACGGCTAACCAACTTGCAGAAAAACTCTTACCTTAAATCTACAGTCTAGTTCCTGACCAGTACCGGATGTGCTAAACTTGGTTATCACCTGGAATATGTCAAGTTCACTGGTGGCCAGGGGGTGGAACTTGGACTCATTTTAAGCCCTCTCTCTTCCCTTCACCCAGCAGACTTTGGTAAGAAATCTTGAAATCATCATACAAAGTCCTTAATTAAGATTCTTCCCAGGCCAACCATACCTGCAATCCCTACCTGCCTTTGACTCCACCTGTCCTGTATCCCTTTCGCTACCATGTCAGCCCTCATACACTTCTGGCCCCTGACTCTTATTTTGGTGCCTCATTTTAATATTTTTTCTTTCCTCTGACCAATTCCTGTATCTTCTGGTCTCACGTTGTAACTTCTCCTTTCTATTTTGGAAATTCTGGGCCAACTCCCAGGGAATTTGATACATCTGACCCCTTTGGCACAGCCTAGCATCTCTTGAACTTGTTCCATTTCCTAACTCTGGTCCTAGAGAGTATGAAGTCAGAAAGCGCGTGAAGGATTCAGTCTGTAAACATCAAAGGGAAGATATCATATCTCCCTTACTTTCCTATTGCTTGTCACCTTGCCTAGCACATAATAAGCATTCAACAAATATTTCTGATGAATGAATGAATTATGGCAGGTAGATAAGAAGTTAATATCAGTTGTATTGTGCAGTATTCCAAGCGTTTCTGGACAATCAATAAAGTTATACTTATAACTCAAAGGACAAATGTTAGTAAAGTGCTTTGAAATCCACAAAATAAAAGTGCTATAAAATAATCAGCTGTTACGTAGTAGAGATGACCAGGGGAGCAGACTGCACAATTCATGAGTAAGGTGGGAAAGAGAAATGGATCATCATGGGAAATAGAAGAAACAATAAATAAAAAAATTAAAACTCACCTTTATCATAATCGTCATCCTCAACTGCTTTGTCTTGAAGTTTCTGAAGCTTTAATCTTAAGGATTTTATCTATGTTGATTTGAGAAGGAAAAATGAAAAGCAAATTACAATATCACTCAAGCACATTTATTTTGCTAAAGCTAAGACATTTAGAAACTACTTCAAAACTGAACTTCATTCTTCCTAAAAAGAAAAAAAAACAAAACTGTACATTTTTCCAATGCCAGATGCATTGATTTCTCAAAAAAAAAGTTATGTAAAGAAAACGTGTAATTTGAGCATAAAATCCACAGAAAGAGTTAGAATGTCATTTTAAACAAAAGTATCACACTGTGCTCTTATCTGCATGAAGAAATGCGTAATGAAAAGGAATATAAGTTTCCTGACCAAATGGTCTCTGTTCTAAAAATCACATTAAAGTTATGAAGGTAAATACCTCATAATTTCAAGAGAAACCAGGAGAAGAACAGCGTGAACTTAAACTCAGCAGGCTGTTCCAAAGCCTGGGTGGGAATGACTGGGAAGACTTCACAAACCCCTTCCAAGAAGTCCTGAAGTTCATGTATTTTCCATTATAGAAAAGGGCATTGTCTTATTTGACCTACATGTAGAGTCAATGATCCAATCACCTGTTTGAGTGTTACCAGTATGTTCATCTGTTATAATTTTTATTCTCAACAGGAGGCCCAAGGATTTCCTGGAGAAGGATTCTCGGCCTGGCTATCAACGAATGGATTTGGGCTTGTTGCCTGAAAAACACCTTCCCTCTCATTCTTTGCCTGGCTTACAACTACTTTTCCTTCAACACTTAGCTTAGGCGTCACCTCCTCCAGTCCGTGTTAAATGTCCTTTCTCTATACTGCCATTGTGACTTGTACTTGCTTCTATTCATGTGATTCTTTCAATAAGTATTTACTGAATGCCTCTTACATGTCAGGCACTGTTTGAGGTACCGGGGATACAATACAAACTTCTTTCCCCTCTAGACTTACATTCTAGTGTGGGAATACAAAAAATAAACATAATAAATGTGTTTTATGGTATCTTAGAAGGTGATAAGTGCCATGAAAAAAGAAAAAAATAGAACAGGGTAAGGGGGATCAGGAATTGTAGAAGAGGCTGGGTGTTGCAATTTTAAATAAGATCTCATTGAGAAGGTGATGTTTGAGCAAAGATTTAAAATTAATAAGGGAGTGGACCATGAGGCTGTCTGGAAGAAAACATTCAAATAGAGGGAAGAGCCAGTGCAAAGGCTCTAAACAGAAGTGTTCCTGGCATTGCAGAGTAATAGCCAGAAGACCATCGTGGCTGGAGAGGTAGATTGAGGGAGAAATCATAGAAGATGAGGTCAGAGAGGTAATGGAGAACACGTTATAAAGACAATTTAAAAGTTCTGTTGTTACTCTGAGGGCCATACGGAGCCATTGGAGGGTTTTGAGCAATAGAGTGGCATGACCTGATTTATGTTTTAAAAGTTTTCATTCAGGCTGTTGTGTGGAGAACAGACTATAAGGGGACAAGGGTGGAAACAGGTAGGCCAGTTAGGAGGTGATGGAAATAGTCCAGAAAGGAGATGATAGTAGCTTAGATTGTAGGGTATCAGTGAAGATGGTGAGAAGTAGTCCAATTCTGGATATATTCGGAAGACGGCCGGTTGAAGATACAACCAACAGGATTCGCTAATAAATCACATGTGGGGTGTGACAGTAAGAGGAGTCAAGGATAATGCCAAGGTTTTTGACCTAAGCCACTGGAAGAATGGAGTTACATGTAATTATTACACCATATTATGTCTACCTTTTGTTTTCTTTTGTCTGTTTTGTCTGTTTACTCCATTCAACCTTGAGCATCTTGAGGTCAACAGCTATTTTGTATCTCTGTGGTAGAAAATGCTAGCGTTCACCCTTGTTTGGTCTCTCCTCTTTCTGGGCTTATGGAAGGATTACATGTTCCTCCTCCCCTTATTCTGGTTAATGGGATGTGAGTAGAAGTGATATGGGTCACTTCTGGGCTGAAGCACTTAATTGTTCTTATAAGATCCTCCAGTGTTCTCTTCCCCTGTCTCAGTCACTGAGGGGGCAATATGTCCAGATGGCACAGGCTGGGTTCCTGAGCAACTCTGTGGAGCAGAGCCCCCAGCAACCTGGTAGAACATGAAACATAAACAAGATATGCAACTTGATATTTTATTGCTGTTTGTTACTAGATTATCCTGATACAATCTCCAAAGCCTATCACAAGGCATAGTACTAGTAATAAATTCTTTCTGAATGATAATCACGTTAAGCCCTTTGTCTTTGAATTATTCCATATTCCAATTGTGAGTTTTACCAGTAACTTAGTCCTGCATATTAGGGATAGGAGAAAACCTGTGTAAGTGATTTCATTGCTATATGGAGCTATAGCATTACCATCACCACATTCAAACTGTGATAACATTAAACACATAATAGAGCTAAAGCAAAAGAACTACAGAAAAGAAGGTCAAAGAAAATTCACTTACAGCCAATGCTCACCCCACCCTACTCCCTCCTCCAATTTTCCTGGTAAGGCCCTTAAGTGACTGCCCTGGGGTATGTTTGAATGTCTATCTTTGCTGGAAGCACAACCTCAGATGGGCATATTCTATCCAGTGATAGGTAATGTCTATCCTTTTTCTCCAGCTTCCACTGGGCTCTCCCCACTTCCTCATCTGTACACCCAGTTAGCATTTCCTTTTATCTCAGATTTCTCAGCCCCACCCAACCCCTGACAATGTCCCTAAGTAGTTATTTCTAAAATACACATATTGTAAAAGGAGTTAAATACGTAAAAGCATAAAATACACATATTGTAAAAGGAGTTAAATACTAAATTCTTGAGATTTGCATATCTATTTAAGTAGAAGGGAAAGGAGGTTAAGAAATTAGAATATAATATTTAAAGGGCAACAGAACATTAGAATCCCAGTCTTTTAAAGGATGCTTTTGAAGGACTCCTCCTCAACCCTAAAGGCCTCACTAGCAGCCCTGATAAGCAACCTGGGGCCTCTGCGTGAACACAGTGGAAAATCAGGACCACCCCACACAGCCTGCCTCTTCGCGGACTCAGCGGTCAGGAGTTTCCTTCCCGTATTGAAGCACATTCTGTCTTCCTACCATTCCTGCCCACTAGACACAGTTCTTCCTGTCACTTGCACTACACTGAATAAAGTGCATTCCTCTTCCACATGACAGACATTCGAATAACTGAAGCTCACAATCATGTTTTCTCTTATTCAGGTGTTCAATTACCATAAACAAAGATACTTAAATTCCAGATAAACTGTGTCTAGATCCTATCATTTGAGACAGATATAAGTTTAATGTGAACTGTGGGGAAAAACCAAACCCACTGCCTTCAAATCCGACTCACAGTGACCCTATATGACAGAGTAGAACTGCCCTATAGGGTGTCCAAGGCTGTAAATCTTTACGGAAGCAGACTGCCACATCTTTCTCCCGCGGAGCAGCTGGTGAGTTCGAACTGCTGACCTTTCCATTAGCAGCCAAATGCTTAACCACTGCACCATCAGGGCTCCTTCTGTGGGGAGAAGGAAGAACTTATTTTTCTTTTACTCACACTCTGTTAATCTGAGTTACTTAGTTAATGCTAATACTGGGGGATATTCTGGATACTTGCTTTGTGCCAGACACTGAAGCACGTTATGTGCATTAACACGTTTAATCCTCACAACAATCTAATGAGGTAGGCACTTCTGCTCTCTCCGTTTTTTAAATCAGGAACAAGAGGCACAGAAGGATGAAGCAAATGTCCTAAGAGCACATAGCTGGGCAGGGAACTCAAGCTACCCACCCAGGCGATCACACCGGCCCCGCCGCAAGGCTCTGTGGGATGACGCATGCAGGCAGGAGTGCCTGTGTGGCAGGGCTCACTGCTAGAACTCTGGGAGGTGGGAAGTGCGTGCACAGTCAAGCACCGAGGACCAGCAGCAACCCTGCCTTTCTTCCCACAGACTGAAAGGACTCCTTTAACCCCAGGGAGTAACTTCCTAGTGGACCAATTACCTAGTTTTAAAAGCAAGCTGTATTTGAACAAATAAAGGGTAAGGAAGGGAGATATTTAGGGTTGGCTTTGCTTCTTTTTCAAACTAAATGTAATGAAATCCAAAAGGTGAGTCAAGGTGGCTTTCCATAACCACAGTCCCTGGAAATATCTGATGGCTCAGAGAGCTGGCCCAGTGAGCTCCCGGCACTTCTGGGCCCCAAAGACGCCTGTCTGCTCAGGCTTTGTTCTCAGAAAAGACGTGACCTATTCTGGTAAGAAAAGTTGAAAGAAAGGAAGAAACCATTGGCAGAAGCACTGCCAAGGCAAGTCTCTGTTTTGTGAGGTTATTTGGGAGGCAGACAAACTAGTAACTATAACAGAATTCTAACTTTTGCCTGACGTGTCAAAACTCAGATTTTTGAGATAGAGAAATAAAGATATGTTGCCACGATTTTTTTAAAAGGTCTCTGAAATCAAGTGTTGAAAATTGACATTTAGAGTGGAAAAACATAATCACGCAAACCTCCACTCAGTGCCATTTGTCCTTTGTGTGTCTAGAGCTCAGATTCTCTTCTTACCATTTTCCCATTCAACCCCCAAATCTGCCAGCTAAAGATCTGTGGCCCATCTTAACAAGATTAATTTTCTCACTAAAAAAATTACTAATCAAGCACCTGCTAAAGGCCAGGAAGTACACTAGGCATCAGACAACCACAAACGACAAAGACAGTGTCCCTATAGTTATGGGGTTGTGGTCAACTGGGGAACTGGGCCCCACAAATTTTCATGAAATGTGATAAGTGTTATAATAGGGCATGTCCAAAGGGCTATGGGAACAAAATGGAAGGAGGGACGCATTTGGTCTAGAAACCAAAAAAAAAACTGTTGCCATCGAGTTGATTCCAACTCATAGTGACCCCATAGGACAGAGCAGAACTGCCCCATAGGGTTTCCAAGGCTGTAAATCTTTAGGGAAGTAGACTACCATATCTTTCTCCCACGGAGCAGCTGGTGGGTTTGAACTGCTGACATTTCAGTTAGCAGCTGAGTGCTTAACTACTATGCCACTAAAGCTCCTTATTTGGTCTAGAGGGGGTAGGAAATATTTCATGAGAAAATGGCATTGTAGCTACACCAAAAGGGATGAGTAGGAGTAACCAGGTGGAAAGTATGTGAAAGTCACTCCAGGCTGGGGGAAGACATGAGCAAAGGCACTGGGGCCTGAGCCTTTCTTCCCCTGGCTTCTACAGAAACCGGCACGCAGCCCCAGGAGGTGGGAGCAGGCAGGAGGTAAGGCGCTGCAGGCAGGCCGGGAGCAGACTGGGAAAGGTCTTGGCTGTCAGATGCAGTGCTGGAGCAGCGCTGAGCCACCAAAGCATTTAAGCCAAGGGATGACACCACCTAACCTGTGTTTCAGGAAGATAACACTGCTGGCCATGTGAAGGGTGAACTGGAGAGGAGAGAAACTGGAGGAAGGTGAATGTGCCAAGAATCTCTTGTACAACCCAGGTGAAAGATAACGAGGACTTGAACTAGGGCAGTGACAGTGGGGCACGTTAGCAGCAGACCCAAGAGGAATGAGAGGCTGATGAGATGCGGGGAGGCGAGGAGAGGGCAGTGTTGATGATGACTGGGGTTTCTAGCCAAAGGAACTGGATGGATTCTATGAAAGTCAAATCAGCAAATATTTATCAAGAATGAGGCACTTTAGAACAGGTCTGGTGGGAAAGATAATGAGATCAGCTTTGGACCTGTTTAACTAGAGTATTTCACACATCTTACTCTCTGCCTGGCTTCACTCTCCCCGAGTGATAAATCAGATGGCTGGGCTGAGGTCCCTGAGGGCTGGAGCAGGGCACACAGGGAGGAGCAAAGAACAGCAGATCATAGGTAAAGAATGGAAAGTGAATGAGATGGGATTTCCGGAAATGAACACATACTTCCACATTTTCAGATACTTCTACTAAATGCCGATGAGTGGGTATTCTACTTTCCTGCCCAATGTGTCCACTCACATGCATATATGCACGCGCACACACACACATATACAGCATACACATAGCACACACATCACACATGTACAAACACACACTTCACACACCTCACATACACCACAGACACAGACATGCACCACACACATTACACACCACACAAACAGACCACACACACATACAAGTACACACACACCCCACACACACATACACAAACCACAGTCACACATACACACATGCACACACTCCACATACACATACACACACATGCACACATTATACATATGTGCACTATACATACAGCACACACGAAACACACATATACGCATATATACACATACATGCACTCAGACCACACAAAATTCACACACATACATAGCACACACAATTCACACATGCATATACATACATACATGCACACACACACAGAGCACACACACAATTCACACATACATGCACACACACTCCAGAAGCAAAACGCTGTCTTTCAATAGGATACGTCACACAGCCCAACAGGTGAGCCACAAAGTCTTTCTACCTGGGTTATTGTGGGAACTTTTTAGTCGGGAACAACCCTGCCTACTCCCAGCTCCTCCGACCTCTTAGACAACTGGGTGGAAAACAATACAATAATGCTAGAGCTTACATTTACACAGTTCTTCCTAACTTCCAAAGCACATACAGGCTCCTTTGAGCCTCAGAACAACCCTATGAGGTATTGTCATCTCTGTTTTCTAAATAAGGAAACTGAGGGTCAGAGAGGTTTAGTGACCAGACAGACACCGAGCATCCCAACTCTATCTAAGGACTTCCACAGCAGCAGAATGGAATAGTGAGGGGAGTACAAACAAAAATCGGAGTCGCCCCCAGTGCAGAGCATCACTATTTCATATCCAGCCCTGGTGGCGCACTGGTTAAGCATTTGGCTGCTAGCCAAAAGGTTGGCAGTTTAAATCCAGCAGCCACTCCCTGGAAACCCTATGGGGCAGTTCTACTCTGTCCTATAGGGTCGCTACGAGTCAGAATCAACTCTACGGCAACGGGTTTGGTTTTTTTGGTTTACCCCCTTCTGAACAGCAGCCAGCTCAGTCTCCCCTGCAGCCTGTCCCCTGCCCCCAATTCCCTGTTCCAAAGCACAGTTAAGTGGAGCTGACCATGTATCACCTGGGCCCGGGACTGCACAGGGGCCCACAGCCTAACAAAGAAAATATGTGAGCATCTGAGTGACAGAGAAGAGAAAAAGAAAACAGATTTGTGCTCAAACTAAGAGAGAAGAAACCAAAGTGCAGGACCATCTTTTCTGCAGCCGGCCACAAAAGTAGCTGCTCAGCTTCTAGGAGGGAAGTCAGACAACCCAGCACCCAGTCATTTCCTGCCCTTAGCCCAGTCCCTAATCTGAGCTTCTGACAGTCCTGGAGCCCCAGAGGCAGAGGGGACACCAACCTTCAGTTGCTTCCGGTTGCTCAGCAGGCAGTCACGCAGGGCAGGCTCATACTTCCTGAGCAGGGTGTCCCAGCCATGAGCATGCCCCAAGATGCTGCCCTCAGACCCAGAGGGGCCAGCCACCAAGGAGGCCAAGGAACAAGATGGGGCAGAGTCCCCGTCCAGTGAGGAAAGTGTCTCCCTTCCTGGCCTGGGGTTGCTCCCTGTGGCCCAGGCACATTCCCCCAGGCCCTGAATTGCCTTGGGATGCAGTGGCTGGGAGAGAAGCCACAGGTCCTCCTGGGGCCTGTCTGGGCTGGCAGCTTTGGTGCTCATCTCTGTGGGGATGTGGCGAGGAGACTCAGCCTCCCTGGGTGGCAGGCAGCCTTCTGCTTCCCCACGTTCACCCGCAGAGCTGAGGGAGAGCCGGATGAAGCTGAAGCTCGAGGTAAAGTCGTCATGAGAACCAGGAGGGGCTGAGGAGGCCGGGGGGCCACTTCCCTGGCTGTGGCTGTTGCTGTCCACCTGCTCCCAGATGCTCCTTGCTCCTTCATCACAGGCCTTCTCATGGGCCAGGCCTGGGACCTCAGAACTGTCCATGGGTAAAAACTCTCGCTGGCACCCCATGTGCCCAGGGCTATAGCGGCTAGTGAGCCTGTCAGGCAGTGTGGGGCTGGCTCTGGACTGAATCCCGAAGCACCAGGAGGCTCCTCTCCTGGGGCTCTGAGCCAGGCCTGGCTGGCCTCCAGAAGGCACGGTCAGGCTCTCCTGGGAGAGGCCTCGCCCCTGGCTTGAGTCAAGGCTGCAGGGTCTGGCCCTGGACCCAGAGTGAAGGTGCTCCTCATCGCACACTGCACGCTGGGCACGGAGTGGTGTGCCCACTGCAGGGGGGAGAAATCCGATCCCAGGCCCGGCTGCAGCTCTCATGTAGCCTGGCCTCCTTGCCAGCCGCTTCTTCAGAAAAGACGCTGCAGGTGGGATGGAATTCTGGCTGCCTAGGGAAACAGACAAATGGGCACCATGAACACTCACACCTCACTAGGTTGGCTGGACCACATATGGAGGCCATCTCTAAGTCAGGAGGTCAGGGGCCTCAGCATGTCCATCAGCTCGGTGGTCATGGGGACACCCAGTATGACAGTTCTAATGAGCCCTGTGCTTGCCTGAACAGGTAGAAATAAACACAGCATCTCAGCATCTCTATTCAGCAGAGCAGCTGGCCACACTGAGTCATGCCAACACTTCAGCACAAAAATTGGAGGCACAACCTCAGCTGCCCCTCACAAGGCCGCCAGCATCCTGTCCTTTGGCCTTTTCCTGCTCATCAGCTCTTTCATCCCGGAGGGCACCAAGAAAATACATTCTTTTGAGACCAGAAAGCCAGTATGCTCCTTGAAATGAGACTGAATCCTAACTACTCATTGAGCAATCTGGGAATTTGAATTACCCAACCTGCCCACATCCTTGAGAGCCTGACTCATTGCATGGACCCCAGAGAACTGGCGGGGGCTGTGATGACAGCTGCACAGTTTCTGTCCATCGATCCATCTCACACAGTCGATTAAGAGGCCCCTGCTTGACATGTTCTCCAAACCACTGGCTGAGCTACACCCCAGCTATGGAACAGGAGTAGTAACAGTAATAAACGGTGATACCTTACAGAGGCAATGAGGTGCAGCTGAGAGCACAGAGCTAGCGCCACATTGCCTGGTTCAAACCCTGGCTGTGCCAGTTGCTAGCTGTGTGACCTACAGCAAGTTACTTAACGTCTTCGTGCCTCAGTTTCCGTATCAGTAAAATGGAGCTACGGACAGTACCTCTTTCACAGGATTGTTGTGAGAATTAAATACATTACTGTATGTAGACAGCATAGAACAGTGCTTGCCACCTATAATAAGTGTTATAAAAGTGTGACATTATTTTTATATTGCAGAGTGCCTTACTATTCACAAAGCATTTTCACCTATAGTCATTTTATTTTCTCCCTATCAAAAGCATGTGAATCAACCAGATCAGGAATTACATGTATAGTTAAGGAAACTGAGGCTCAGAAAAGTTGACTTTCCAGAAAGCCCTGCAAGCAGCCAAGACAAGACCAGTGCCAAAGTCTCCTGACTCGACTAGTCTGCACGGTGCCCTTACTGTGCCACAAGTCAAATGTGATGGAAGGTATAAAAGTAAAACGTTATTGTGGTTATGTGCCATCGAGTCGGTTCCGACTCCTAGTGACCCTACAGGACATAGTAGAACGGCCTCCATAGGGTTTCCAAGGAACAGTTGGTGGATTTAAACTGCCGACCTTTTGGTTACCAGCTGAGCTCTTAACCACTGCGCCACCAGGGCTCAATAAAAGACAGAAAGCACTAAACACAGCTGTGGTTATACCACAGCCTGTGGCAAGACGTGAAAGAAAGCTTCGCTCCACACCCAGACACCCTCCTTCTGCCCCCGCACTACACCCATCCCCAGGACCTTGGTCATGTTTAAACAGAAAAGTGCTAGACACTGAACATTCCAGTGCATCAAGTCCCTAGGATGGATGTGGTTAATAATGCAGTTTCTCACTTCCTGGAGGAGCAAGCATTACAGTACATACCACCTGTTCCCTGACTTTGACAGTTTGAGGTAGCCCAAGACATAGTCACCCAGGTACCTGCTCTTTGCCAACTGGGGCGTGCTGACAGCTAGGACGCAGAAAGGGCTAATGTACACAAACTTTCTGGAAGCTTGCTGTGAAGGGAGGAATGGAGGCAAGGGCAATGCAGAGGTGGTAAGAGGAAGCTGGGATAAAGCAAGTGGGGGGAGACACCTAATATTACAACCCTAGGAGATGGGTACCATTCCCATTTCAAAATTAATAAAATTAAAGCTCAGGAAGCTTTAATTTGCCCAGAGCCCCCAGAGAGTAGATGACCAGCCTTTCTAATGCCAAAGCACATGCTCTTCTCTTCCCTTTGCCTCTGTGTCTATCCATTAGGGTGATAGCTTAAAGAGATGGGAAAACATGAAAGATTTCTCTTTTCCTCATGACAGAGGCCATGCGAAGGAGGGAACAGGGGAGCGGATACGATGAAAATATACAGAAGGAATCATTAATGGGCCAAGCAGGGTCGCTATGCGCTCTGATCCAGCGGTAGTCTCTGTCCTTTTTGTCAGGTATCACACCAGTGGTTAAGAGCTCAGGCTGCTAACCAAAAGGTCAGCAGTTCGAATCCACCAACCAGCCACTCCTTGGAAACCCTATAGGGCAGTTTTACTCTGTCCTATAGGGTTGCTATGAGTTGGAATTGACTTGACAGGAATGGGTTTGAGGGTTTTTTCTGTTTACCTCATCATTTGGGAACACAATGCTCCCCTGTAGCACTCAGGACCTAGCCAGTAGGGAGAGTTGTCGAGTGGGGGTTGAAGGGAAGCAGCAGAGTTCAGAAGTCAGGAGAGGGGGACCCAGGAGAGGACCAATGCTCACAACCCCTATAAAACTGGCAAAATATTTTTTAAAGAAACATGAATCCAAAAGGAAGAGGAGGGAACACTGAATTCTGACTTCACTTACCAAAGGAAAACAATTCAACAACTCCGTATCTTGAAAAATGAGTACAATAGCTATATTGTCTTTTGGCTTAATAAAAAGACATTTAACTATTATTTATCAAACTATTAGTCACACAAATGACCCTCTGGAAGTTAAAAGAAAAATGCTAAGTGAAAAATAATTTGTAATTTCTTTCCAAATGCCTGCGGGCACTTCGGCCTGAGTAGCCTTTTCTAAACCCACTCAACCAAGACTCGGAAGTACCCAAGAGCTGGGCTCCAGTCGCACAAAGCAGTTCCCTGCTGGGAGCCATGTTCCTAAGCTGTGGTCACGGGACAGCGCTGCAGGAGCAACAAGCTGTGAAGACCAGACCTAAGCACAGCGTTTATCAAATGTAGGTAGCAGGAACGGCCAGAGGGGCCACACATACAGACAACCCAGCTCCACACCTCCTCTGAGCACTCAGCCATCCCATGTCCCTCCCAGAAGGTCGCCCAAGATGCAGCAGCTACCACAGACTATTAATTCTAACCCTCAGGAGCCCAGGAGAGGGTAAAGGGTGGAACAGAGGAGCTGACAGGGCTGGGATCTGGAGGACACTTCCGGATTGACCTAGAATTATCCTGAAACCTTTACATTTTAGGGAGACCCCAGTTCCCCATAACCAGAGGCCCAGAGGCATCCGTTTCTCTATTTTTTGAGGAAGCTTAAGACATCCCTGACCAGAAATATATTACCACTTAAATATCTTGCTTGAAATCCTACCTCCTATATTTGCTCAAAAACCAAGCCTGTGGGAATTGAAAATGGTACAGCCACTTTGGAAGACACTCTGGCAGTTTCTTACAAAGTTAAACATAAGCTCCAGCAATCACGCTCCTAGGTATTTACCCAAATGAGCTGTGAACCTATGTCCACATGAAAACTTGTACACAAATGTTTACAGCAGCCTTATTACCAACAACTGGAAACAACCAAGATATCCTTCAGTAGGTGAATGGATAAATAAACTGCACTATATTCATTCGATGGAATATTATTCAGTGATATAAAGAAATGAGCTATCAAGCCATGAAAAGACGTGGAGGAAACTTAAGTCTGTATTGACAGGTGAAAGAAGCCAGTCTGAAAAGGCTACATACTGTATGATTCCAACTCTATGACATTCTGGAAAAGGCAAAACTAAAGATCAATGGGTGCCAGGCTTTAGGGGTTCGGGGTGGGGGAATGAAGACGTGGAGCACAGGGCATTTTCAGGACATTTTTAAGGCAGTGAAATCATTCTGCACGATACTATAATGGTAGACATACGACATTATGCATTTGTCAAAACCCATAGGACTTTACAACACAGTGAACCCCAATGTGAACTCTGGACTTTAGTTAATAATTATGTATCAATATTTGTTCATCAGTTTTAACAAATGTAGCACAGGAATACAGATATTAATAATAGGAGAAACCGGGTGCAGAGTGGTATATAGGAACTCTCCGTACTTTCTGTATAAATTTCTCTGTAAACCTAAAACTACTCTAAAATGTAAAGTCTATTTAAAAAAGAAGAGATTTAGAATTAAAAAAAAAAAAAAGCCCACCATCATGCTCTGAAGCTAAGAAAGTGTTAGGATTCATTCAGACCTTATAGAGAAGATTCCTTCTGAACACCTAATCAAAATCAGCACTGAGGGAACAGAGGTTTCGAGAAGGCAGGAAGAAGAGCTTGGCAAGTGGGTGGTAAGGTCTGGGAAGCACAGGCACACGCTTTGAAAATCTGTCTGGGAAACAACCCGTGCCCTTCTCTTCTGGGTGGAGAGGTGGCTTTGTTCTGCCTACCTGGCGGGGAACGGCTGAGGAGGGCGAGGGGAGCCCCAAGCAGAGCAGCATCTGTGCTCCTCGTGGCCTCCCACTCCAGGACAGACTCCAGGGAGAGGAGCGCAGATGTCCTCCTTCCTCTGCCTATCACAGACCAGCTGCTGGTCCCTGTTTGTACACGCTCCCCGCCCCACCTCTTCTCCTGCCCAGAGAGCTCTGAGGTTGAGGGAAGTGGAGGCTGGAAGCTTGGACTAGGCCCAGATGACAAAGGCCTCTATCTACAGTACAGGTAGAGGGCTCAGACATACCTGTCTACTTGGTTATGGGGAAAATAGGGGGAAACCGATATTAATCAGCCAAACCAGAAAGAATCCTGTCTGTCCTGCCTCTGATGCTCTCTCTTCATCCACCCAAGTCCTTCCCATTCTTCAGCTCCCAAACCTCCTCCCCAACAGCTACCTCTCCTGTCCGCCCAGTTCACGGGGCTTCAACTTCCCTCCTTCTGCTCAAATGGAACCAAATGTTCATATTTCTCTATTCTCCCATTTATTATTAATACTTAGCACGGTTAGGTATTAATTCTTTGGGGAATATGAATGTTCCTACCTTATGCTACATATAAACTCCTTGAGGTTCTTATACCTCCCAAAA